GGGTCTTGCTATGTTGCCTAGGCTGGTCCCAAACTCCTGGCTTCAAGAGATCCTCCTGCCTCAGTCTCCCAGGTAGCTGGAATTTACAGGCTCAAGCCACTGCACCTGGCTAGAATTTATTTTATTTTTAATTGACAAATAATAAATGTGTATATTTATAGGGTAAAATGCAATGTTATAATACATGTATATATTGTGGAATGATTAAATCAGGCTGATTAACATATCCATCACCTCACATACTTATAATTACTTTGTGGTAAGAACATGTAAAATCTACTTTCAGTCATTCTGAAATATCTAATACATTATTAATTATAGACACCATACTGTGCAATAAATCACTAGAACTTATTCCCCTGTCAGAGTGAACTTTGTACCCTTTGACTAACATCTCCCCTTTCCCATTCACCACCACAACCACTCCCACCCCCCAGCCTCTGGTAACCACTAGTCTACTCTCGGTTTCTATGAGTTCAACGTTTTTAGATTCTACATGTAAGTGAGATTATGCAGTATTTGTCCTTCTGTGCCTGGCTTATTTCACTTAGCATAATATTTTCTAAATTCATCCATGTTATCACAAACTACAGAATTTAATTTCTTTTTAAAAGCAGAATAGTATTACATTGTGTATATGCACATTTTCTTTATCCATTCATCCACTGATGTGTACTTAGGTTGTTTTCATATCTTGGCTATAGTGAATAATGCTACAATAATCATAGGAGTGCAGATATCTCTTTGAAATGCTGATTTCAAATCCTTTGGATACACACTCCAAAGTGGCAATGCTGGATCATATGGTAATTCTATTTCTAGTTTTTTGAGGAACCGCCATACTTTCTTCCAAAATGGCTGTACTAATTTAAATCCCCACTAACAGTGTACAAGGGCTCCCTTTTCCCCACATCCTTGCCAACATTTATCTTTCATCTTTTTGATAATAGCTATTCTAACAGATGTGAGGTGATATTTCATTGCCTTGTAATTTTATTTTAGTCACACTGAATACAGAACGTTAAAAATATATCAAACCCTACTTAACATGGACTATGATAGAAAATTCTGTTACAAAAATAGTATTCCATAAAAAGCAATTAATTCAGCTGACAACTCAAGCAACTGCACATGTGCTTTTCCTAACAGCAACTGTCTTATTCAATATCAGCATAAATACTTTATATGTATTTTCCATTTCATCACACAGAGCGCAAAGTATTATTCGATGATAAAGATTTAATAAAATAAATTTACTGTTTCACCAAGGACATTTTAAAGTGAAAGTGGCCTTTTTTTTTTTTACACTGAAAGTATGCAGCAGTCAAGAACACAGTACTGTTTCATGCCACTGACAACTGATTCACGCTATGGTGCGAGCAGTTTTACCCACATTGCTTTTGCATCATCAGCACAGACGTCAGCTAAGAGCCAAATACCATCATAGTATTATGAAAGTAATTTTGACCTTGCAGATTCAATGCAAGCATCTCAGGAACACCCAGACATCTGGGAACCACATTTTGAGGACTACTGCACTACAATCACGGGCCTGTTAAGATATATACACCGTGAGGTACAAATACACTAAGCATGCCCAAGGAAATAGTAGACATACATCTCCTATCCCATTTTCACTCTGAATGGAGTAGAGGTTGGAACTGCCCACATTAAATTTCCATCTTGTATTTTTTATGCCTTCATTCGTTCATTTCATTTCAACTGGAATCCATTCATTCCAACAGGTGGGGTAGAAACAATTCAATACCAACCTGGTGGTCCATATAACAAACAGCCTTTTGGAGGTATTATTCCTACACGCTGGAATAATTCTGGGTTTGTAAGAGGTAATTCTATTACCTAGAAAAGAAGTTCCAAGTTTCTTAAAAAGTTAGTAAAGATTTTTCATGTACTTTCATTCACATAGCTTAAATTAAATATCAACATAGGTGTACACATAATTCATAATAGATCTAGACTTCCATGCTATGTAAAACCATTTATATTAAAGATTTTTCTTCAGGTAGATTTGAGATCTCTTAAAACTAAAAAACTTTGGCCAGGAGCAGTGGTTCACACCTGTAATCCTAGCACCTTGGGAGGTCAAGGAGGGAGGAACACTTGAGGCCAGGAGTTTGAGACCAGCCTGAGAAAAACGAGACCCCATCTCTACAAAATATTTAAAAAATTAGCCAGGTGTAGTGGTGCACATCTATATTCCCAGGTACTCGGGAAGCTGAGGTGGGAGGATCACTTGAGCCCAGGAGTCTGATGTTGCAGTGAGCTATGACAACACCTTAGCACTTTGGCCCAGGCAACAAAGCAAGACTCTGTCTCAAAAAAAAAAAAAAAA